CACAGATATATCTATGTTAGTATAGATCGCTTCAATGTAAATTCAAGGCTTCATCGATTATGAGATGGTGGAGAAGATTTGTAGCTCAGGTGGATGATTTTGATAGAGTTTTGTTCTCTGAGCTGGATGGTTTGGTCGTGAAACTTTCATCGTTCTTCTGAACGACATCATCAGCACAAAATTCAGATTCACTCAAAGAAACATGAAATCAAAATAGTAAGCTGAAAAAAACCTTTCAGGTACCAACGAAGAGAAGACAAATTAAAGTCCAGTCTAATAATTTTTTTTAGCGATCATGATAATCAGTCTTTCAGGATCACTCACGTAATATTCTCTTTGAATTCACTTATAACTTTCTTATTCTAACAGTTTTTTTTTGAAATTATGAAACAACTTATGACAAATTTCATACTCAAGTTATCAGTCTATCTGCTCATTACATTTTAACATCTCACTGTTATTTGCTGTACACCATGTTTAGTGTTAAGAATCAGTTTGTATAAATTAGAAGCAAGTACCGAAGATAGGATACAGAATGACAATGAATACTTCATTATTATTCCAAATAGCTCATCAACAAGAATTTCAAATCTTCATTAGTTAATAGTCAGTTACGTAATACAGGAATCATATACGACCTCACAGGATGTAACAGGTAACATGTGTTAATAGGAATGAATTATTACTTGGAGTTGCCTCAATTTCAATTGCTTCAATAGACAATAATTTATATAGATGTCCAAACTACTTTAAGAATTGGACAATTTGAAAGATATACTTAAACTAAAGGATGATCTTGCTGGATGCACTCATTAAAATATATACTAAATCATGTGCGAAAGTGTAGGTCTAATGTTTCTAACAATGATTTATATCATAATAATCCAACAGTTTAGTTATAAAATATAATAAGACTGATTCTCTTCATCACTTCCCACAAAATAACGCATTGCAATCTAATCTGATTCATTATTTCATCATTTGTTTTAGATTATTTTTCTTTTCTATTTGTCATTTAAAACAAAAATATAACAGTATTACCTAACGTCTATTGTCACCTCAAGCCACAAAAAAAAATCTGGTTTATAAGTTGTCATTATGAATGCATCATCATCTATATTACTGACTCAAAACTAAGTGATTAGTATTTATAAGTTTAGTCACTTCAAGATATAATTCAATTATCATTCGGTACCGTTTATGATAATATCTGTCTTGATCTTGACACGGCTGTATTTCTGGCTATAAATATTGATTAACGCTTGATTAAATGGAGTTGGCTTACGTGCCTTCTCCACTGAGCGTCGTTTTGCTTCGCTCTTTTCTCTTTGCTTCGTTTCTCTGATAGTTTCTTTGTTCTGATCAACAATTTAATGAAATATACACATTCAAAATTCATCTTCGTATTTTACTTATTTAATTCCATCATATACTAACTCAAGTTAAGTCGATAATCATATACGAGAATTGACGGTAGATATTTAGATGTGTATATCTCAATATAGATCAATCATATAATCCAACTGGAGTCAGATTTCTGTCCATTAAATTACCATCAATAAGAACCAATCAACATTGAGGTGTACAGAAAAAGCTGTGAAATACATATGGAGAAATTCGAACACTTCACTTCTATCTGAATTTTGTGCTGATGATGTCGTTCAGAAGAACGATGAAAGTTTCACGATCAATCCATCCAGCTCAGATAACAAAACTCCATCAAAAATTACTATCAATATTTTAGTTTCTATAAATCAACTATATTTTTCATACATAAAAATTAATTTCAAATTCAATAGTTTGTTAAAATTAATTCAAAAGTCAAAAGATTGAAATGTTTTATTCTTAAATATTAGAAATAAGATACAAGAGAATGATATAGATGCGCACTACTGAGGAGTCCCACAATAGGACGAAATGGTCATCCAGTGCTTTCAGGTTTTCCATGGTTATCTAGTTTTAATTAACTCATGATTTCAACTATTGAAATTACTAGAATCTCTACAAAACCCTTTCTGATACATAAAATTATAGTCAATCAATATTAAAATCTATTTTGAATTGTGCATCAAAAAGTAGTTTGGTTATGTAATTACTGAGACTTAAAAACTGTGATCTATTGTCGTCTTTCCTGTATCTTATTTTGATAATTGTATCAGTGGTACATGGGATTTGTGGATATTGTAAAAGTTTTACAGTTTATGTCACACACTGATCTTATTTAGATCAGGTATCGGAAAGCTGAAAAGTTGTTTCGTTCTAGTGTGGAACTCTTCATCAGTACACATTGCTAACTAGATAAGATCAGTTCGTGACTACAACCATAAAAATTGTAAAATATTCACAAACTCATCTATGATAATAATAATCATGTGTTCACTAGTGACTAGCCTTAAAATGCTATTCCTGGAGTCTTAGTAAGTTGCCTCAACCAATAAAGTTCAGATGTATCAGGCATGTGGAAGTAACTCACTGACGACAACGAAAGATGGCTACACAATATCATAAATTGATTTTAGTCAGAAATATATACCACTGGGTTCCGGCTCAGTTGTTTAGACTTTAAGCTTTCACTTATGAGACTTGGATACCCTGGGTTTGATTCTCTATGACTGAGTCGTGGATGGACACCACTGAGTGGTCCCAAGCCAGGCTGAAACAACTGTCTAATGCTTTTGGTTTTCAATGATAGTCTAGCTATAATCAGTCCGTGAGTTAATCTATGATAATTGCGTCAGCTAAGAATTTAAGTATTCAAAAATTAGTGGTTGATGAATGTTAGACCACAATTGAAAAACTAAAAGCACTGGACACCTGTTTCGTCCTAGTATGGGACGCTTCAACAGTAAGCATCCACGGCCCCGCCCCACGAAATTCGAACGGAGGACCTAACGGTCTCGCGCGTACGAACGCTTAACCTCTAGACCACTGAGACGGTCGGTATCCAACCGTGTTAATGTTTAACTTTAACCAATCCACAAAATTGCGCCACCGTCCACCATTGTCTTTAATGAGTTACTATCTCACAATAGACCCAGTTGAACTCCACCAGTCACAGCTTCTTACTACAACTCCATGAAATACTTTTTGAAACCAGTCACTAGTAAACAGATGATTTAATTGACTTATGAATACAACTATTAAAAATTACTAAAATCTTCACAAAACACCTTTCTGAAAATATATAAATCATGGTTCACCCACAATGTATTGAGTTATTATGATAATTTTAGTAAATTTTTGATCAGAATCTATGACCAGAGAAAATATAAGAGTAAATTAACTTCACAGAACATAATACACTTTGTTTAGACTGTAAAATGAATCAACTCATTAAATATTAGTGAATCATCAGAAGTGTAATCTTGTCCATAATTAATTAATGATAAGATCTAATAGTAATTTTCTTTTTTTTTGTTTTTTTTTTTCAAATTTTATTTAAAGGATAGTTCATAATTCAAAAAACTGGTCATTCATATAGTTGTTAGATCATTTATGGTATGGTATTTTATAATCGGATTGAACTAAGCTTATTACTTGATTATTGATTGTATGATTTCTTTAAACTGATCATTAAATTCTATTGAATAGAATATTATTCGTTATAGAAAAGTATATTTATTATACATACATGTCACAAAATAGTTTATATTATCATTATAATATTATATGTGTTAGCTGGCATTTATTTATTTGAACACATAAATATTGGTACAAAGAGGCACCGAAAATAGATGCTCCACACAAGTCACTTGATTTGTGTATGCGCTATGATACTGTCCTGGTGTCCAGACCGAAGTATGTTGTTTCCTTAGGGGACCATACCTGGATCCTTCGACCTAAAGGTTTGATCCACAAAGCAGTGGAGCAACGTCAGCTGATGCAGTCTCACGAGAGATGGTCACCAATAATTGGTTCACACGCCATTTTTTCCTTCAGGATCCTGGAGCTCATGTTCATCAATGGTTTGGAATCAGGGTTTCGTAACTCCCCTAGATGTATCCTCCATATCAACCGATTCAGTTAAAGCGCCGGAGATTCACTTTTTGTCCTCTCAATTTTGTAAACAACATCCCTGACACTAGAAGGCAGTGAGTAGGACTTCTCTGGCAGTAGCTGTATACACGTGGCCATGTGAGAGCATTTTGAGAGGGAGAATGGACTCGCCTCACCCTCGGCCATACTAAGGCATTTAGGGGCCAAATATTATCAAAAAGAAATATTAGTATCCAGGATCAGATTAAATAAATGATTAATATACTAAAACATTGATCAATCATTTGAACATATTTGAAAAAATCTATACTCTCTTATATTTGGTTCTTCAGAACTAACATTTGTGTCGATGATAAATAGTCAGTATTTAATTAACCTTATATTATAAAATTATCTCATTTAGTTTCAAATTACCCAATATTTCAGCTAAATAAGGTCAGTCAGTCAGTCAGCTGCAATGTGGGGCCAGGCACATATATGCATCGGTCCATGTTGTCATACCGCATTAGCAAAACAAAATGAACACCAGATTCATAGAAGTAGTTAATTCAATGGTGGTAATATATAAAAGAAAGATTGCATATAAGGAGATAGTGCAGGAAAAAAGAATTAGTTCGTAGAAAGAAAGATATGAAATGATTTTAATCTCCTAGTTTAAGGGAAGACAGAGTGTATACACTGACGCCATTGTGATCGATTCTGAGCCATGTCGCCAAGAGTCTCCAATTATTGGTTACGATAGTCACGCGGACCCCAACCAGGCAGTCTGCACTTACCAACATGACCCAGACCAGAAGTTAGTGACTTCAAGCTTTGATACCACGTTTTGGTTTGGCCACCCCCAACTTTCTTTCAATTATCCCTAATATTGCGCGTCGTAGTAATCGGTGTTCAGGCATACGCAACACGTGGCCCATCTCTAACAGCTAAATAAGGAGTTTATTTGAATTTTGTACCGATATAAAATGTACACATTAATAAAGAAGAATAAAAAAATAACTTACTTTTCTTGAAGTGCTTTAGTCCAATCATCAATAGGTACTTTTAAACCAGATGTTAAACTAATTGCTGGTAAATGTGGTAATTCTAAACAATGTACAAATAGAACTTCATCACCAGGTCGATAAACTTCTTTAATAAACCATTCAACTGCACGTTTAGAATGATCACTTCCATCTACTGGAAGACATATTGTTCTTTTTTTTCTTGTTTGATTCATAATAATAATAAGATATATGAAATATTGATTGTATTATTTCGTACTATTAGAAATCCAAGAAAATGTCTATTCAATATTGTTACTCAATTGTTACTCAATTTGATAACAATTATGGTGATATTATATGAAATTTATTTCACCTATTATTTACTCATATCTTTCTATTTAATTCCTATTGGTTATGATCAGTGTTAGTAACAAACTCTATTGGTTGCTTTGTGATCACGGGATTGACAGAATAAAAACAAATCTTATACTCGTATTAATGTGTGTATTATTATGGATGATATATGTATTTTTTAATGTTATGTTAGTTATAATTGTTATTGCCTTAGAAACATTATAATTCAATATTATATAATACAGGAGTAAAACATATGTCAATGGTTAAGATCATGAGTCAGTTCAAGCTAGACCATCATGGAAAACCTGGAAGCATTGGTCGGCCGTTTTATCCTATTGTGGGACTCCACATGATCTTAACCATTGAAATCACTATAATATTCACAAAACCCGTCTGATATTTCGAGTTGTTATTCCAAGAGAATTTTATGTATGAAGATTGATTGATTCAAGTCTAAACAGTTTCCATTTTTTTTAACATAAGAGATAAAACAATCTTGATTATTCTAACAAAACACTAGCGTATAAAATAAGTAAATTTTTCTAAGTTTCAAAAATCCAATGATTTATGGATCTAATTTGATTGAAGTGTTTTAAAGAATTTTGATGGAGTTTTTAAAATCAACAACTATTTAAGTGAAAAAATTTTTTTCTAAGAAATTCATCATCCGACACGTTAAATGGAAATCGATCATTACAGTGGACATTGTAATATTGTTATAATCAAGAGGTAGGTGATGCCTTTAGATCGATAAAGTGAGAACTACATATCTACAACTAAACAACATCTGGAACTCAGAATTCTCAATACACATGTCAGGATAGTTCTACTGCATAGGAAGAAAAATTGGAGAACTACGAAAGAAATCATTCAGAAGATACAAGTATTTATTAACAGTTTTCTGCGCAAAATACTTCGGATTCGTTGGTCAGACACTATCAACAACAGCCTATTGTGGGAGAGAACAAACCAGACCCCAGTGGAGGAATAAGTCAAGAAGAAGCGCTGGAAGTAAATAGGACACACATAATTTTTCATATGGATGGTTAACTTTAAACCACTAAGTTGGTATCTAATGGTTCACATCTTCAACTTCAGTTAGTTCAAAATATTGCATGAATGCTATTACAGTATCGGTTATTATGTTAAGCACATATGCTTTATTCTCGCTTTCTGACAGACCAATCTATTCATTCGACTTGAGTCACATTCTAACCTTAGTAATTATTCACTTATCAATCTTTGCTGTTTTTATATGAGTGCATATGTGTGTGCACTTATTATCCCATTACTCATCACATGTCTGTAACTTATTTTTGTATGACTATAAATATGGATTAACGCTTGATTAAATCGATTTGGCTTACATGCCTTCTCCACTGCGCGTCGTTTCACTTCACTTCATTCTCTGACTGCCTGTTCAAATTAATGAGTGCATGAAGTGTACATATTCAAAATCCATTCTCGTTATTTGGCTTATTTAATTCCGTTATTCACTAACACGAGTTAAGTTGATGATAATATTAAAAGATTGATGACATCTATATCTCAATAGTAATCAGAAACGATCTCACTGGAGTCAGATCTTAGGCCATTAATGTAATGAGCCCGTTGACAACACTGTCCTATTTAAATGATGAAAAAATAAAGAGCCCCACTAAATTAGCATTTTTTTTATTTCTTTAAGCTTTAGCAATCACAAATTTTCACCAGATTTTCCAATATTTACTTCAAAATTAGTTATTAGTGAATATATGTACTCACTTTAAGGTCGAAAGTTTCTAGGTTGTTGATGCACACACTTCAGGAGTTCTATTCTAGGATGCAATTACTGTGTTAATGTTTCCTAAATTTTTTTACTGATTATCTAGTTAATGTCAAACAGTGATATAGTCTATCTACAAAACATTTTTATAACTAACATTTAAAAACGAAAAATTACATTTTTTACGCCATTTTCACTACGTAATTCACTACACCAATACACTTAGTAGATTGAAGAAATGGAAGAACGAATAGAATATTAAATTAAAATCATTTGAACATTTCTAATAGTAAATGATTCATTTAAATAATATAGAATGTTGACTTTTTCTTCCCAACAATATAAAACCGAATAATAACAACTGTTTCTCGTGATTAATAGAGTTAACTGTTTGCTTTATTTGGTCCATCAGGGTGCTTGATACCTATATGGTTGCGCCACAGGATTGAGCTGTACTTCTCGAGTTATAAAATTTAAGCCTAGCCGGTGTCTGGCTCTTCTGTTAAACGGAATTGAGCTGTACTCTTTAGGTTGTCACGTGAAAGTCTGGATGGTGTCTGGTTCTCCTGAAAACCAATGTAAAATTACCCTGACCCAAAAGGGTATATTATATATATTTGTTTATGCAGGCCAATCATGTTTGTCATATGAATTTTTATTCATAACAATACTTGTTTAGTTGCTAAAGTTTTAATTAAATTGGTCTAGTGTGTATTAATGAAGAGCCAATAATCAATTTATCTTAATAATTAAGGGGTGGCATAGATATATATAATAATTTATCGGTCTGTTTCAATGAAAAGTTGTTATTCATGGATTTACAGTTGAAAGATGATAACTTGGTTGATATTAGTGTTACCAGAAAGTTTTGTACAATTATTATATGATTATTCTTCATGAGTAAAAATGAATGTAGCCTAACATTACATTCACTAGATGGGATATCTAATGTATCCAAGTCAGTGAACATTAGTCTTTCACTGTACGTTATTTAGAGTTAGTTCAATAGATAGCGAAGTTGAAGCGGTTGTCTGTCATTCATCGTGAAATTACTTTATATCGGTATAGAAATGATAACAACAGAGATGTGAAGAATTCTAATATAAATCCATTAATTTATTTCCGAACACTTCATTTACAAACATTGTACCACATGTAATGTTATCCAAAATTAACAACGACTACCTTTAACATCTGTATACACTATATTTATACATTACTTAAAAGTTGTAATTGTTTCTTCATGCAATTTTGAAATCTATGATATGAGTGCATTAACATACATACTTACCATACTTCAGACATTCATCAAAGAGATTTTCCTTCTTGTAAGTTCATCTAAGAATCTTAAGTTCAACTTCATGTGAATTTGACTATGTACTCAATTGAGGAATCTAAAACCTTGGAATGAAAACGGCTAAGCAGAATCACACGCAGTGCTTCATTAAAAAAGGTAATAACAGTTATATGAATCCTCTTCAGTTTTAATGATAATAAAAATCATTCTTTACTGATAATGGAAATATCCCTAGATACATCATCCAATCATCAATAGAATGTTGTAGTCCTCCAACTAAGAATTAATGGCTCTTAACTGCTGCCTCATATTATTGTAATATCTATGGTAAATGTTCTTTCACAACAATTTATGAAACCCATCATCGCAGATAACTTAACTTCATATTCTGCCTTTTACATATGGTAATATGCCAGTAAAACCTGTATAAAAGTCAGCGTATTTGGTTAATAAAATTATGATCATGTGTTTAAAGAGTGAAAATGATTTTTCAATTATAACCAGCCTTTGTCTTCTTTATTGCATCGAGTTGAAAATGGGCTACTTGTTGCGTTTACCAGTTTTCCTCAATTATTTCACGAACAAAAGTTGACTAAAACATCAGTTAAAATAACAAGCAACAAACTGAAAGAGAAATAATGATTTTCAAATTTATTCAGTAATTTTATATTGTAGACAAGTGAGAGATATAAAGAGACTATTGAATATAAAGATAATTTACATTACTTACTGACTTAAATCAAACAATCACTTAGAACCAGGAAGTACTGGATCAATGTTTCATCTCAATATGGAACTCTCCAACAATTCATGATATCAAATAAAGGACACATAGATCTCTCTCCCAGCTCTTCAACTTTAAAGTATGAAGATAAAGTTCATTAATCTACATTTTCGACTTCAGTCAACTGATAACTTTGCATAATTATTATCCATTTTCATCTACGACGACCGTCTCACTCCTGAAATAAATAAGTGATCTCTCATTTGAGGTTCAGTAATTTCTCATGAAATTTATCACAAATGCTTATAATTAGCTTCATTGGGGTCATAATTGTTTAATGATCACAGATCTCATAATATTATAAAGTTTCTCCCATCTAATAATAATGACAGTCCGTTTATTGAATACTAGAAATTTTGTTACAGTCAAGAGCTCCGGAAACAGTTGACCAATATTGCAGTGGAAGTCTCTTCAAAGTACATTCGAATTGTAATTATTCAAAAACATATTTTACAGATGGTTTTTCAATGGTTAGAACTTATTACCCATCTTCAATAGCAAAAGTTCTATACTAGTTTATCCGCTAGAACTACTTTATTTTCTGATCCAATACTAATAAGATACATAAATTTCAATATATTCATCTCTCATTTCCCTAAAAGATACAGACGAATGAAAATATCCCAACAAATGCCGTAATTCTGTTACGATTTTTTAGGAGTTGAGATTGTAGTGACCTACTTTCATTAACAGAACGCGATTGGTGTAATGGAAACAATTATTATTATAATCAATTTTACTAGACATTGTTTTATTGTATTTGTTTGTTTAACTGTACTAAAGGCATACTTTCTTCCGTTGACTGTGACCTTTCACAAATTCGGTTACGCTCAGTAACCTCATTTGTAACCTGGCACGATCTCTGTATTCTTTTGATACCACGAGATCGCCAACAAATACATCTTGACTACAGCCATCAACTGCCTTCTAATATTTGGCCTACGTGGGATCTTATCGGTTAACTGACACGTAGTGCTCTTACAGTGGTACTCATAGTCAAACGCGACTTGACGCCACACTACAAGATCAC